CGGAACGACCACTCACACGCGCGGCTTATTGGGCGGCCGTTTGCAGGGCTAACAGGTCGACCAGCTTGTAGAACAAGGCCGCGTCGGGCGTCACGGAGGTCTCGGTGAGCTCTCTCAGAGTGTCCCACGCTGCGTCAAAGTTGGGGCTGCACCGACGGCACCCTAACGAGTCGCTGGGCGACCAGTCTCCCCTCGAGGCTGCGTCTGACAGGTTGGCCTTACTAGAAACTCTAACGAAGAACAGGTTGAGGTTGCGAGCTGCGACCCAACTCCAGAACCAACCTAACAAGTTGGTTAGCCGAGCGTCTTTCGAGTATCCTTTCCTTAGTGCATGTTCACTTGCACTGTTGTCTACAAAGCAGACCACATCTCCTGACAGGCTTGAAGAGACCGTGGCGAGACTCATGACCTGGGCTAGGGCTTCCAACCAAAAGATGAAAGCCTTCGTCGTGGCCACTTCACTGAGTAGCCGAACGGGAACTTCTGTTCGGAAAGCTAGCCTGGTCCCTGACTGGGAAAAGAACACGGCTCCGAGGCCGTTACGCGAGCCTCTGAGTGCGGCGAGGGCCGTCGCTTGTTTCAGCCACCTGCTAGCTGACTGACGGGATCCTGCCAGGGTCACAAAGGCGTCTGCGTACAGCAGATGCGGTCTTCTAGGGTCGGGTGACTTGCACAACGGGAAAGACCTCGGCTGCAGCAAGGGTAGCAGGCCCAACAGGCTATGAAGGGCAGCTTTGAGAGGCTTATTAAGGGCGGTCTGGGGGAAGGGCGAGTGCTGTCTGGAGTAGAGTGGTTTGAGGAGGGCCTTGCCCACCCCTCCGAAAACCCAGGAGCACACAAAGTTGAGTTTTCCTGCCAGGTGAGCAGCTTCGTCAGGTGTGAGTCTGTTTTCTGACAGGGCTTGTGTGACCAAACTGGTAAGCTTGGAGATTCGCGAACGGCTGGGGCCTGCCGTCACTCTGTCGCGCAAAATCGACCACACCACTCCTAACAGGGTGGCTTGGCTTGTTGGCTTTTGAGCCTTCGAGTCTTTCATCTGGAAACCTAACAAGTCTTGCAGGTGGCAGAAGGAAGTGAATGCTGACTCACTGGTGTGATCTGGCTCTGAGTAAAAATAGTCGTCCACAAAATGTGTGGCAGGGACGAACAGTAGGGTATTAGTGAGGAAACAGATGGTGTCTGCAATCCTCAGGTAGCTCCACACACTGCCTGTTCCCCCGAACGGGAGCACCAAGTGCCTGAAAACACTAGGTTCAGTTTGATTGGGGACGAACACATAGCACTCTTGAGGATCTCTTACGGGAAGAGCTCTGTAGGCACCGTCGTGGTCGAGTGCTGCCAGGGTTGGGTTGCCGAGCTGTGCGGCTGACTGCACCAGGTTAAGGACTGACTGGGTGCCAGCGCAAGGTGGGGAGTCCTGCACAAAAACAGTGTTGTTGTGGTTCGACCTGCGCCAGTCGTCGGCGCGTCTCACCTTGTCCTGCTGCACTACCGGGAAGGCGCGTGCAGCGCGCGCGTCTGAGTCGGCTGCTACCTGGTAAGGCTCGAACGGACCCTCGAACCCGGGCTTTAGACTGTTCCTTAGAGATCTCGGCCAGCATCGTCGCAGTATGCTCAGACGGCCTCCTGTCGGCGTAAAGGCCGCGTTTGTGCTCGTCGTTGAGGAACTGAAACTGCGATCTAGACAAAGGCCTGCTATACTTAGGGTCCTGCCTGGCATCCCAGCCTGTACCTGGCGTGAGTGGACCCAAAACTTTAACACCGAACTGGAGTTCTTCAGCGACTTCCTTGGTGCCCGGAAACTCGAACAGGGTAAGAAGGTGTAGGACTACGAGGGGCTGCAGCACGAACTGGTTGCCTCCTTGTCGGCAGACCTGTTGCACGTGTTGTGGAGCTGACGCGAGCCAGTAGTCCTGTTCGAACTGGAGTTCTTCTCTAAGGAGGGCGACGTCCTGCACAAGCTCTTTCCTCCAGCGGCTCAAATCTGGACCTAAGGCATGACCTGACTGGAGTGCCCATTCGAGGACAGGGTTGTTCTGAGAGAAATGCAGCTTGCTGGCGTCGAGGGCAAGTGCCCACTGCAGGTGCTGCTGGGTGTCTTCGGACGGTCCTACCAGTTGGAGGGGTGGTGGTTCTCTAGGGTCCCACTGAAGACCAGAGCACAGCCAACTCCTAGCTGCTCTCTCAATCGGCCGCGTGCCTAACGGGTTAAGGTTCGAGCTCCACGGTAGTGCGGCTGTCGGTTGGTACCATTCTGGTACCGGTCCCGCCGTCACCGGAATGACGTTGCAACTGGCCAGCAGTACGAACAAGAGGAAGCGGGCCGAAGGGAGGTGCCATGAGTTTCCCAGCATCTTACAACGGGAGTGCTCGGAAATCCTCTCGTCTGACGGGGAGGTGATTCCTTGTGGGAAACCTTGGATCCACTCTCTCGTTGCTGCGTCGGGGGTCTGCCACTTGCCGTGTACCCTGACCAGTGCCTGCGGACGGTACTGGTGGGGTGGGTACTGCCGGGAGGCTGCTGCCCACTGCTGCAAGGTGTCGTTGTTTTCCGTCCTCCTTCTCTTATTTGGAGGCTGACGGCCCTCGGCTGAGGGCGCGGGTGTAGTCAAGCACGGAAACAAGGTTCTGCCTGAGGCCACGTCCTCGTGAAAGGTTGCTGACGGGCAGTCAGTGGCGCACTGGCGTGGAAACAAGCTAGAGCTTGGTAGGAGCTGCCACGATCTGTTGTATTTACCCCACCTGGCTAAACCTGCTAGAACGGGTGGCACCTGTGTTTGCGAGGCATCGCTGGCAGGTGGAGTTAGGGCGTTAGACCACCACAGACGCGGCCTGGAGGTAAGGCCGAAGGAGGCCGCGTCGACCACGAACGAGGTCGTATCAAGGAGAGAGTCGAGCTCTGCTTGTAAAGCTGCCGTGGTCACCACGTTCTCCACCAGAAACACGTGCTGCCTTTTTTAAAGCTAGCCGGAACTTCAAGAACCAGTCAACCCAAAGCCTGAACTTACACCCTTCTCTACCTTGGAGGCCTGGTTGACGGGTGCGTATCTGACTGAAGTCGGTACAAGGTGGGCTAGCGCAAATGAGAACCAAAGTGTCGGAGGGACACTGAGAGCGCAGGAGGTCTGCGACTGCCTGGGGTTCGCAAGTCAAGGCGTCGCCCCAGTGTCGAACTTGTGGCGAGTGTCCTGACGTGACTCTTTTGCAGTCTTCCTCGACTTCCCAAGACCAGGAGACGACGGGTGACGCGCCTAGGTCCTTTAAAGCCAAGAAAGTGGTACCTATGCCACAAAAGAACGAAAGAGCAGCGATGGGTCGTGTTGATGGGCGAGGTGCCCGCTGATTTGTGGAAGGTGACTGACTGGCCCAAGTCGAAGTGGGCTGTGTGTGAGGGTGCTCGACCTGCTGGGAGCACACCACTGCATGAGGATGGTGGATTGCTGAGGACTGGTGCTCAACCGGGCGGGAGCACTGCACAGGAGCTGGGTAAGATGAGTGGCCGGGCTGCGGAGTTGAGTAAGGGCGGACAGAGAGGGCCGTAGAAGAAAGGTGGGGTGTCGCTGTCGGCGGCTGTGTGAAAGCAATTGGGGAGGCAACTGTCACCCGAGAGGAGGGGCCAAGTCCAGGCCGAACTGGATCGGGGGAAGGTTTTGCAAGTGTTGGCGGACTGTGTGTAAAGTCGACTGGCGTGCATGCCGGGTTCGGCGCAACAACCTGACGAGTAGGAACCGGCACACTAGGGTTAGGGCCTGGGTGCAGGGTTGCACGGGTTAGGGAGCAGCACACTAGGGTTAGGGCCTGCACACCGGCTGGGTGCAGGGTTGCACGGGTTAGGGAATACTGTGTTAGTAACTGCCGGGGCGCTGTCAGCATGAGGGCGCCCGGCGCTAAACTGTGGACCCTGGCGTGAGTGGTCGGCTCTGACTGGCGGGCCCTCCAGCTGGCCGCGCTGTCCCTATGGCCGTGTAGCAACCTGGAAAGGGGCCTGTGGGACGACATGAGGGAACGGGGGCAGTGCTGTGGCGGCAGGGGCTGACTGGTTGCCGTGAGAGAATTTGCACGCTGACCCAAACTTGCAGAATCCTTGGGCAAAGAGCCTGCACGGCGGACAGGCTTGTCCTGTGGGCATGTTGGGTCGGTACGGGGCGGACTGCCACTGCCGCTGTTGGACGAACTTGCCCTTACCGCCCTCGAAGCCTTTGTCGAAGGCCTTGCCTTTGTAGCCTTTGAGTCTCCTTTGGGTCCTTGTTCCCCTTTGCCCTTCCTGGGCTCGGAGCTGTCGAACGGGGCTGGTCTGTTCAGCTCGTCTTGCTTGGGCCACGTCAGCACCTCGTGGAAGGACTTGTTGGCCCTCATCTGCAGGCTAACATGAAGGAACGCTTTATCGAAGAAAGCCCCAGTTTGGGGGAATTTATTGGGGTAGTCTCTACACAACTTCTGCCAAAACTCAGCCCACAAACTGGCATCGTGCTCGTCACACCAACGGGAGAACATGAGGCCCCACTTGATCGCCTCCACGGCATCTAACAGGGTGACCAGCTTTTGGGGCTCCGGCACATGGCGCATGGCCTTGGTGAAGGTACCTGAGTCGTCGAGGATCATCTTGGTGCGGCTATCGTCCTTAGGCGCGAACGGGTTGGCTGCCTTGCTCGGTGTGAAATGACGAAGGGAGATGATTTCTCCCAGTCGAACAGGAGAATACTGCTTGGAAGTTTGGCGCTGATGCACCATTCTTGCTAACACTTCCTCAGCACCTAACAAGAGATGCGAAGGGAATTCGCGATTCTGCCCTAACAGGATGACAGACTCAAATTCTTTGACGTACTCGGACCAGTAATTCTTTGGCAGGGTCTTAGGGACTTTGTCTGACTCGGACGAGGGAGACGACACTGAGGCACCTGGAAGGGCGGCAGGACTGGGGTTGAGGCGGCCAGCATCTGTGAGCGTCGCACCGACAGCTCGTCGAGGGCTACCCGGGTCGCTGCTTCCAGGATAAGCCTCTCGTCATCTGACCTCTTGACTGTGTTGCCTGCCAAGTCGAATCCTGCACGCAAGGGTTCGAAGAACGGGGCGAAGAAAAGGCCTGCATTGGTGATGCCCTTAGCTGACAGGTAAGCGATCATCTCAGTGTCAAACCCAGCACGCGACGCGACATCATCGAGATGTGGCAGGGCGAGACTTGGGGGCATTGTGCTCCTCAGAGGAGTCTGAATCAGTGCCCGACTCTATCTCTTTAGCTTGAACAGATGATGCTGACGGGCGGTCAAGGCTCTCTTCGGAGGGGAAACACAACGAGCACTTGGTGTA